AACAAGCTCCAACCCTAAACAGACGGACGGGTGCACATAAGTCTGAAAAATGCGTTCCACGAAGGAAGGTGGAAGGTCTGCAGACCCCGTCCAAAACAGACTCGCAGCCATCTTGCGCTCGCCACGCGCAAGCAACTGGTCAATGTGCTTTCCAAGACAATTTTCGTGCAAAGCAACCCCTGAAAATGTGTGAGTTTTGACACGAGGCAAAGGCCCCACCAATTGTGTTCGTGATGACGCAGTTATCGTCCTTGGTGGGGACTGCAATGCTGGCCTGGCGAAGGCGTGAACCTTGGGGTGGCATCGCTTGGTTCAGCCGGCGCCGCTTCTCCCCCCTGGGCATCCAACTCGCGGGGCGACGCGAGCGGCGTCCGCTAATGGGAGAGACTTTCACTCGGTGCCCAATGGCAAGATTTGTCGACCGACTGATGAAGAGAGACCATTCGTCCTATCCGGGCAGCTGGTTTGTGGGCTCGGTTACTGAGTTTGCGCTAGGGTTGCTTTGCAGGGCAACTCGCGCACTTTGCTGACCAACACCCTCATCTTGGGTCTCATGTGCTGCACGTGACTTGAGCTGCGCGGGTGTGCCACATCCAGTTGAATGGGGTGTTCACTCCGGCTGTGCACAAGGTCTGGTAAAGCGGTGGTTGAAGCACGCCCACTTGCTTTTAACTGGTAGGCCTAATGCAACTTATGCCTCCGTTTTGAACCACGTGGATAGCTTACAGTCATACTCCCAGTGGCAGCCGGTGCCGCGTTTGCACCCCATTGCCTATAGCAACAACAATCAGATTCATCATGTGCGTTACTGGGGTCTGGCTCGGTGTGGCCATCATGACTTCGCGGATGGCAGGTCCGCCCGTCATCGCGGAAACACCTCTGATGCTTTGGCGCATCTTGTGTTGACTCCCTCGCACACGCATTGGTAGAATGCCCTGCTCATCATCAAACACGCAATCGCTGGCGACAGCAAACCTCTGGACGACGCGTGGTTTTTGTGCTTGCTCAAAATTGTTTTAACATTTTACCCGCAACTGCATTGGCTTGTGCATTGGCTCATCTTTGGTATATCCAGCCGCTAAGCTGCTCAAACATGTTTCAATGCATGGCTGTGGTCTTGAAGATCATCATGTTCGCACATTTTGCTTTTAAGCACCTTGTTTGGATGCATTATGCTTTAGTTCATTCACATGACAGGAACATGAAGCCTTTTATCACTACTTCCAAAACCATGTCTTTGACTAGTGGCTTTCTTGTAGTGTCTGTAGGGGCGGGGTAGCTTGCAGTTCCCTCGTCCGAGGAAGGCACAAATTCGCCCACAGGGGCGTGCATGGAAGGCATTTTTCCTTCTTTGAATCGATTGCAGCCTACTCTACAAACAAAAGAAATTTTCAGAGTGGCTTGGCGTAAACTTGAATAGAGGATTCCTGTAGTACTCGAGGCTGAACTTCCGACTGTGCAAGGTCAACTAGGAGAAACATTCTTGTAGTTTCAGATTCTGATTTGTGCTTGCTCCATGGCTAGTGTCTCTTCAGATGCTCCGGCAACGAAGCTTGGGGAGGCTGAGCAGTCGGCTGGGTTACCGGTTTGCAGAGTTCAGAGGTTTCGCAGGGCTTCCGTTTCTGAGTCGCTGGATTCCCCTGTAGGGGCTGTGCGTCCGTGTTTGGGATCTTGTGACAGTTCTACGGAACCTGCCAACGCTCCGACGTCTGCTCATTTGCCTCCGTCTCCAGAGATGACAAGCGCTTCAGTCGATGTTGCTACTTCAAGTGAAGCACTTGTGAAAGCTCCTCTTCCGGTTCTGTCGCAATATGCTTCTGGTCGGCACGTGGGGTCGCCGTCACAGCCTCTTTTGCCTCTCAAGCCCAAAGCTGCTGGATTTTCCCCTGGCTCTCGCAGACCATATCCAGGCTTTACCTGTGGAGCCTTGCGACCTCCGATCTTCAGTCGGCCGCCTGCTTTTCGACTTGCAGACCAGACATATGGCATGCTGCGACCGGACACTCGTCTGATGAATCGTTGGTCTCCGTTGGCATCTGGCCGTGTTGGGTTAAGAGCTTCTCCCTTTAACTCTCGGGATGCTGTTAGGCCTTTTGGTTTAGAGGGTCCTCTGCAACGCCCTTGTTTTCAGCCTCGGTCGTCTCGACCACCCCGGCCACAAGCTCCCCTTGCTCGTCCTCCCGTGCCGGGCAATGAGTTTGAGTTGAGTTACCGACCTGCTGTACGCTGTTCGGAATCTGCGGCTATCTCTTCCACGGAGCCTTGTGGGGCTCCCGAGGTAGCGTGTCCGAAAGATGCTGTTGGCGCCTGCAAGCGGGCTTCAGGTGCTGCCCACGAACCGAGACCGCCTCACCTTCGACGTGGAACGGATAGGGTTGCCTGCGAAACTCAGGAAAACTTGCATAGCCAAAGGTGGGATAAGGTCTTTGCTTTGTGGGATAATCTAAGATCGTGCTTGCTTCCGCTTTCCACTTTGCTTCGCGATCTGATGTCCTCGGTTAATAGGAATATCATGGAGCGTGCTTTGCTACAGCGTGTGGCCGATACGACAGCCTTACGGTACATTTCTTCTGGCATATCCTTTTTCCGTGCTTGTCAAGACCTCCAAATTGAGGTTGCTTCTTGCACTGCCCCGCAATTGGTTGATGCTTTGTATTCACTCCAGGCTGATCGTGATTGTTCTATCCATGTATCCAACTCGCTCAAAGCTGTACGTTGGATGTGTAAGCTCTTTGAGGTGCCATTGCCGGCCCATTCTCCGCTTACCAAGGTTCTGGAAGTTGGCAGAGACCATCAACGGCGTGAAGCCTTACCATTGCCGGGAGCGTTTATCGCATTCCTTGAACGTCGGGTTCTGCAGCTAGACCTGCCGATCTGGTCCAGGGCATTTGCGGGTTCCTTGTTGGTGTGCGTAATGAGCAGTTTGCGATTTGCGGATTCGCAACATGTAAAATGGTCTTCTTTATCGCTTGCTGGTTGTGTGTTGCGAGGACTTTCTTATCGGACACAATCTTGCTCCTCCGGCATGCCCTTCGGGGTTCTGGGGTCTGGTTTGCTCTCGAACGTAGATGATTGCGGATGCTCCTGGATACACCATTATTTGTCCTTGCTTGGCAGCGTTTGGGACCTGTTCCCTGAAGCGGTTCCGGATGTGCTTTTCTTTCAGTATGATGAGCAGTCGTTCACGCCCATGTCTTACTGCCAGACCTTGGCACATCTGCGCCAGTTACTGCAGTTATTCGCGCCACACATGGATGTGTCGTCATACACTCTTCATTCCTTGAAAGTTACAGCCCTGTCAGCCATGTCGCAGCTGGATGTCCCCGAGTTGCAGCGGAGGCTGCAGGGACACCACCGTGATGGCAGCATGCAGCTGTATGCCCGGGACGACTTGCATGCTGCCCTGCGGGCGCAGCGGTTTCTGTTGCAAGCGTTGGCGCGGGGGTTTGTTCCCGTGACGCCTCAGGCACGCGGAGCTCAGCAGCCGCTGCCAGCTCTACCGCTCGACCTTCGACCGGCTGATGCATGTTCTGTGGCTCCTCATGCACGCTTTGGCTATTACGATGACTACATGTTTGCGGCCCCGGATCAGATTCAGCCTCCGGCAGACCATGCTGATCACAGTTTGACTGCGTCGCCCGATCCCTTCCCTGGGGAAGACATTCCGTCAGCACCGCTCCCGAGCGGTGCGTCCACACTGAGACCAGAGGTCATCACTTTTGAGGATTCTGATGGTGAATCTGTGTCAGGACAGGATCCTGAGGTGCCACTCGGCGACATTGGTGAATGGTTCTGGGTCAAGGCAGCGTCTGGCATCTTGCATGTCGCCTCCTCGACAATGGCAAAGGAAACTGAAAACCCCCGTGTGCGCACTGCTTGTGGTTGCTTGCTGCCTCGCTCGCAAATTTGTTTGGAGCCAAGCCCTGGGACTCGGTTGTGTCTGCGTGGTGGCTGTCGAATCGCCATGGTCCATGCTTAACCATGGCCTTACAGCGCCCTTTTGCCTAGCTGCGTCGTGGCTTTCGAACCGCCAGAGTCCAGGCTTAATCACGCCTTACAGAGCCCCTTTTTCCCAGGTGCGTCGCTCATGGTGTTGCACTTGTGTTTTCTTTCAAAAAAAAAAGAGAGAAGAAAAAGGATGAAGAATGAAACAAGAGTCTCTTTCGAGATGTGGCTTTTTCTGGACAGGAGTCAGAGGCCGGTCAGGCTCTGCGGTTCGAAAGGGTGCCGGTCTGGGCCCTGTTCTTAAAACCTGAAGCTTTCTTTCGGAGCCATGTCAGATGCCGGTCAGGATCTGTATGCTTGGGCTTTGTCCCTGGCTGATGTTCTTGAGGCAGATGCCACTGCGGGTCTGCGTGAGGGCGTGGTGCCCTGTGTGTTTCTTTGTCACACATCAAAGGTATGACGGTCCGATGTCTCCTCATGTGCAGTTGGAAAGGAGGACTAGTCGACTGCCGTAAGCCTGGAGTTGAGAGAAAGAGCCTCTGGCTACTTATGGTTGGCAGGCGGTGAAATGAATTCATCTTGTCGCTGACAGGGAAAGTGAGTGCAACGTGAGCTTCCCCCCCCCTTTGCACTGCATGAAGTGAAGTTTGCTTGAAGGTGAGCAGCTCAAGATAGGTAGGCGCTACATGCATGATCATGTCCTTTTCTTTATGAGAACATGTGGTATCTCGTAGCCTGTGCAGCTTTGTCTTACATGTTTGGAATCGCTAGCTTGCAATTTGTAATGGAGTGGCTTTTGGGGGGATTAGGGGGCCATTTCTTTGAGTGCATCCGTCTGTACGGGAAGCTGTAGGACGAGTTGTGCGTCTTTTGTAATACCTGTTTTTGCCTTGTGCTGCCTCCAAGTTGCGATCATGGATGACCCTGTAGAGTCATGGGAGTTCCCCTTGGAACCCTACCTTGAGTTAGGGGGCTTTGGCCAAGGCAGCGATGCTGCTGATAACGCCTGGCCCTCCCGGTCCTTGGCCTCGCAGAAGGGTGCTGAGCCCCAAGACATGTCGTCTTTGCTTGCCAAGTTCCAGATACCGGTTGAGTTGCACAAGGAGTTGTCTGCGTTCAGCCCAAGTGAGTTCGGTATGGTGGCTACTTCCTTGACGGCTTTGGACGATTTTCTGAATGATCTGCCCTACGCTGTTGATGGCAATCTGGCTTTGACCAAGGCCCGAATTCGTCTTTTGTGGAAGCACTGCCAGCCGGACCCTGTGACCTCTTCTCCGGCAACTGCGCCTGTCGCTCCGGCCTCTTCTGCGACTGCAGCGGATTCGGACTGGACTCATGTCTTTCCGAAAAAGCTATCGGTGGAGCAGGTGCGTTTGATGAAGGCTCGTTTTGTCACTCGATATCCGTCCGAGCCTTTGGCGCCTGATACGATGCCAGGGCCCAGACTACTGGCAGTTGTTGCCAAGCAGCTGTCCGAGAAGTCATGGAGGCATGTGCCTTGGAAAATTAGGCTTAGTGAAGAGCAATACGAGCAACGAATGGCCGAGCGACCGCATAAGGTGCCTAAACTTGAGCTCATTGCCGTTGATGACCAACCTCAAAGGGATTTGTCTCAGGCTCACATGTCCAAGTCGGTCATGTCGGAGGTTCTTGAACTGCACAGTACGGCGATCGCTCTCTGTGGAGGGGCACACCTTCACACCTTGCGTGATCTGAATCGCAGGTTCTTGGCCCGGGCATTTGAACGCTACTCCAGTGAGTCTGGGCTTCGTGCACCGTCCTGGCAGGAATCCTTGATTGCAGATCAGAAGCTGTGGACGAGTGTTGCTACCCTCATGAATGATGACGGGTGGACCATGGAAGCTGCCTTGAGGGAGGTCGTGGTCGTGCGCAATGAGGTAGCTACACTGCTCATGCCGCGCCCTTTTGTCCCCAAGATCCCCTTGGTGGGGAATGGCTTGTGTATAAAGGAAAGGGGAAGGAAAAGGGAAGAGGCAAGTACCGCGATGAGAAGGGTGCTGGCAGGGGTGGCGGCAAGCCTGGTGTGCGCGTGGGCACGTTTTATAGAAAGGATGGGGTCAAGAAGCTGCTCTGTCATGATTACAGCCGGTCTGGTCAGTGTGCCAAGGGATCTGCCTGCAAGTTTGAGCATCTGTGTGGTGTCTGGATGCCGGATGGGTCCATGTGCCTCCAGCCCCATCCTCCTTCCCAGCATAAGCGCACGCCACATTAGGGATCCGGGAGCGCGCCTTTTGAGCCAGACCTGGAAGGGGGTGAGGTTGATGCGCTATCTCTCCAATCTTGTTCTGGGACGTCGTCTGCTGGGCTGCGTGATCCCTTGCTTGACCTGAATGCAGATGACAAAGTTTTGGGTGGTGTTTCGGGGGACTTGTCCTCCAGACGTCAGAATGCAGCCGGGTGCATTCGACCCAATCTCGGGAGGCTGTGAGCGCAGTCGGTGCATCTCCGTTTGACTCCAGCCTTAGTGTGGAAGAGTTGGCGGCAGCCATATCTGAGCCCTCAGCTCAGGATCTCCTTGCGTTAGTGAATCGATTGCCATCGGAGGATATTCCGCAGCTGGCCTTCTCGCCGGGAAGCCATTCTTGGCAATCTGGTTCGTGGGCGCATTCAGGCCGAGCTGGACTTCGAACTAATGCCAGGGTTTACCCTAAGTTTACCTCCCTAGTGTGTAGGTTCATCAATGCCCTTTTTCCCTGGTTTAACTATCAAGCCTTTGCTTTCTTTCAAAATGTGGCTGCTCCGCCACATATTGACCCAAATCACGCAAAAGGTTCTTTTTCTGCACTTGTACCGCTGTGCAAATTTGAGGATGGAGAGGTCTATGTGCACTCTGACCCTCCTGTGTCTCTGCCGGTTTCGCAGGGACCTTGCCTTTTGGATCCGTCAATTTTGCATCAGGTCCAGCCTTGGACAGGTCATCGTGCGGTGCTGGCGGTGTATTCCCCAGCTGGCTTCGAGTTTTTGCAGCCTGCGGACCAGGCCCGTTTGCTTTCCTTGGGGTTCAAGCCACCTGGAGTTTCTTCGAGCAAGCTTGTCATGGGCCCAGTTTTAGGTTCTTCTGGTAATCTGGACGCTTCGGCAAAGGTATCTTTGCCTCCATCTCCTTCTGTGCGGCCCGCTGATACGCCGGTGCTCTCGACAGACGTGTCCGACGAGGATTCCAAACCTGTTGACTGCATTGCGCCTGCGCTGCCGAGAGGATCCAGTGCCTTTTGTCAACTCAGGCCAGGTCGTTTGTTCCTGGACCTTTGCGCAGGGGCGAGGGCCCCGCTGTCCTCGGCTCTTCGGAATCGCGGGGTTGTGTGTCTGCCCATAGATAGTCTCATTTCGCAAACCCAGGATCTGCTCTGCGATGCTTGTTTTGAAGACCTTCTCAGGTTGGCTTTTAGTGGGGCTGTCGCACTGGGGCATGCGTCTCCTCCGTCTTGTGAGTACACAGGGGGTCGCCCGCGTTGTCGCTCGTCTGAGCATATTCGAGGGTTTCCGGACAATACGCCAGAATTGCAGTTGAAGGCAGACACGAGTCGAGCTATCCTGCTACGATGTGTGCAGATCCTGCGTGCAGTTTTTGTGACTGGTGGTCACGTGACCTTTGAACAGCCTCGCAACAGTCTTGCCTGGCAAGAAGACTTCGTTCCGCCCTTTTTGCAGGAGGTCGAGGCCGACCTTGTGGTCATTGCTGGCTGCAAATTTGGAATGCAGGCCTACAAGCATTGGCTGTTTGCTTCGACGGTGCGGCCTCTTCAGCAGCTTCAGGGTGAATGCCCCCATGAGCGCGATGCGCATCCCTCGCTTGGCAATGTCCGAGATGGGCAGCGGTTGCAGGAAACGGCTATGTTTCCGTCCGAGCTGGCTGATCAGTGTGCTGAAATCTGTTTGGATTTGTTTGAGGTGGGAGCGACTCCGGAGCACCCCCAGTTTCTGAATTTGCCTGCTGCTTTGAAACTCTTGCCTGCAAGGCCACGTCATGATTTCCTTCGTGCTTCCCAAGATGGGGCTGGCATCTATAGTGTGCCGGACTGGAGTACTCCTCAAGATGGTTTCACAGATGACTTCCGCGAACTCCGTCATGACTTGTTTGCTTTTTTCCAGGAGTCGGACCTGATTCCGCGCTTGCGGGCTCATGTGGCCCAACAGAAAGATGAGCCGTTGCTAAGTTCTGTTGAGGTCGAGCGTGTGCGCCGCACTTGGGAGGCCTGGTTTCGCAAGCAAGGGTTGCAAGTGCCCATTGATTGGTCTATACTATACCACCTGGACAGCCCTACTGCCTCGAGGCGTTGCACCAGTTGTCCATGGTTACAAAGGATCGTGACAAATCGCTTTGGGAAAATCTTAAGAAAGGAGTTCCTCTTGGAATCTCGGGTGATATTCCGCCTAGCAATTGTTTCTTGCCGGTTCAGGGTGATTGGGATGAACGGGATATCGAGCTTCAAGTGTGCAGTGGAAACTGGCCGGGAGCCACGCAGGCCCCCGAGCTCCTGGAATCCCTCATTCAGGATGAGCTTGACGCGGGGTATTTGATACCCATGCCCAGTCTTGAAGCTGCTCGTCAACGTTGGCCTCGCGTGGCGGTGGGCAAGCTGAATGTTATTCAGGCCCCGGGAAAGAGGCCTCGGCTCATCAAGGATCCCTCCATCAGCGGGGTGAATGGTTCTTGTTTCGTGCCCGAAAAATTTTCTTTGCCTACCTTGGAAGACCTTCGTTTGTCGTCGCCGCTTCGGGGCGATAGGGAGACGCCGGATGGTGTGTCGATAGACATTACCGCTGCTCATAAGACGGTCCGAGTTCGACCTTCGGAAATGGGTTTGTTGGGCGTGCAAGCCCATGGCAAGTTGTATTTTTATACTGTCACACCGTTTGGTGGGGCTTTCAGCGCCCTGTGGTGGGCGCGCCTGTCCGGATTTCTGATTCGGACAGGACACCGGCTGGTGTGGATTTCGCATTTTTTAATGGCTTATGTCGACGATTTTTTAATGCTCCAAAATCGTCAGGCTCTGCCGCTGTCAGCAGTATTGCTGTTGTCGTTCTTTCAGGCTTTCGGGGTTCCTATTTCCTGGAAAAAGCTTCAGTTGGGAGGCACTATATCCTGCATCGGGTGGCGTCTGCACCTGCGTGCTTGTGCGATCACTTTGCCGGACCAAAAGGTCGCTCGCTCTCATGACTGTCTTGGATGCTTCTGACACGTGCGTCAAGGATCTAGAGTCCTTGATTGGCTTGTTGCACTGGATATTGCAAATATCCCCCACCTTGCGACCCTGGCTTTGTTTTTTGTATTTTGATAAGGCACGTCCGCTAGGGTCGAATTTTTCGGTCAGTGACGTGGTATGGCAGAGACTACGCGAGTTCCTAGATGATCGACTTCGCTTCAAAACGTGTCCGCCTGGCACGTCCATCACACCAGGATCCCAGTTGCTATCTGCACGTCATGTCAACCTGGAACGTTTGGATGACCTTCGCTTGGTAAAGCAGACCGGGCGCCGAATGTGGATGCGGGTTGCAGATCTTGGGTCGTCCAAGAGAAGACTGTCGGAGCAATCCCGCAAGTTTCTCCTCTTTTGGTTGAAGTGGTGCACTCGCCCTCAAATGTTTTTTCCTTTGGCAAAGCCACGATTCAACTATGATGTGGAGGCAGCAGCAGATGCTTGCGCGCATGGAGATTGCATTGGCATTGGGGGCTGGGTGCGAGTCCCAGGGCAGGATCCGCTCTGGTTTTCTGAGAGGTTTCGGGTTGAGGACTTTCGCCAGTTAAAGGTGCCCGTTCGGGATGATGCTCAGTCTGACATTGTTTCGTATGAAACGCTTGCGCAGGTGGCCTTGATTTTATGTTATGCATCCCTTTGCCGCGGAGGGCGTGTGTGTGTACGCTTGCCATCGCTCACGGACAACTCGGGTACCGAGTCCGTGGCGTCGAAACTTTTCTCCACAATCTCTCCGCTTTGCTTCTTTTTGCAGCAGCTAGCCATGGTCTCATGGTCACATGCAGTTTCTTTGGACACCAGTCACATTTGTGGCAACAAAAATGTGGATGCAGATTTGTTGAGCCGCTGGGACGGGTGCGCCGCGCTGCCTCCGGAGTGGAAGATGGAATATCGTGTATCTTGCGCGCTGCCCATCTTGTGGCATCAGGAAAGAGACGTGAGGCTCTTTCCGCCTGAAGCGAGGTTGCTATGGCAGCCCCCCTTGGGCGACTCGCGTGCTGCTACGCTCTCCTGACCCTTGCCCTTATGTGCTGATTCTTTCCTTTCCTGGGCTTGACATCTACCCACGGAGCGCGGTTGCTTGTGCTTCCCCCGTGCGGCTGGGTGCTTGCCGTGAGGGATGCTGTGATTCTGTCGTGTCCTGGGCTTGACATCTACCCACGGTGCGCGGTTGCATGTGCTTTCCCCGTGTGGTCGGGTGCTGGCCATGAGGGGTGCGGCAGATGAACTTCCTGCTTCGGATTCATTGCTAAAGGGGCGTTCTCAAGTGCTGCTGAATAGTGCCACTTGATGTCGTTGCCAAAGACTCACTTAGAGTTTTTGGGGAGGAGTCGATGTGGGCGAGCCTTTGTCACTCCTGTGTTGGCAGTTAAGATATTTGGGTGTTGGATTGATTCACATTGCTAGCATGTTGATCAGAATACGTTGTGCTGCTACATGCTACAATGTTCGACCGCCAAAACAGGAGTGACTGCATAGTCGGGAGTTTGTCTGTGGAGTATCTATGTCACCTATGTTGATAGAGAGTTGAAATATGGTTGAGCTGCAGTGGCTGGATGTTAAATGTTAGAACGGTTTTTGTGCTTGCTCAAAATTGTTTTAACATTTTACCCGCAACTGCATTGGCTTGTGCATTGGCTCATCTTTGGTATATCCAGCCGCTAAGCTGCTCAAACATGTTTCAATGCATGGCTGTGGTCTTGAAGATCACCCGCCCGCCCAACCCTGTTTGTTGGGATATTTCTTCGAATATCCTCGTGCTTCCCAGACTCGAGGTTTATCTGCATGAAGGGTGAGCTGTTGTGTGCTCCCTAAAGGGCTCCTGTCTTCTGGAGTCGAAGTGTACATTCTTTGTGCATAGGCTGATTATGGCCCTTCTGACAGCCGATGCTTCAGTGTGAATCTCATTTTTGGTTTATTACCTTTGTTGGCATTTTCTTTGTTGATGGTCAGGTGTTTGGGTGTTGGATTGATTCACATTGCTAGCATGTTGATCAGAATACGTTGTGCTGCTACATGCTACAATGTTCGACCGCCAAAACAGGAGTGACTGCATAGTCGGGAGTTTGTCTGTGGAGTATCTATGTCACCTATGTTGATAGAGAGTTGAAATATGGTTGAGCTGCAGTGGCTGGATGTTAAATGTTAGAACCTTTTCGTTGCACACATTGTTTTCCACGGACCCGGCTGTCAACACTGCCCGAAACATTGAGTGCAACATTGCATTCGTTGGCCGTGTGTGCCACGCAGCTGCCGCATGTGAGATGTGACCTGAGCTCTCTCTCCACGGCATCATCTGAATGCCAACTTGTGGGGAGGTTTACCGCCACCAAACAATTTGGACGCACCGCTGCCCCCCCAGTCGGAGCGAGCGGCACACTTGCCACTACGCTTTGGTGGCTTGGGCTTGCGAGAGGCCACGGCGGACCGCCATGCTGCGTACTGGGCCTCCTGGATGGACAGCTTCCCCGTCATCCAGGTGCGCTTGCCCTCGGCAGCTAACCGTTTGCTGCTTTCCCTCCGCGCGCAGGAGGCCGGCCCCTAAAAAATAGGTAAAAGGGGGACTCAGGGGTCAAGGCTCGGGCTTTGCATTTCTGGGTTCCTTATTCGTTTTTTCTTACTTCGCTTCCTTCTTCGTTCTCTCTTTCTCGTTCCCTGTTTCGTTTTTCTTCACATCTCGTTTTTTCTCTCTAAAATTCTGCTTGTCTCATTCGTTATTTTTTCTGGGGCTTCGTGTTCTACCTCTTTCGTTTTGATTTTGTTAAGTACTTTTACCTTCACTTTTCATTTTGTGGGTGCCTGTTGTGGTTTTCAACAATAATATTATCTAGTGAATAATATTATGGTTGCTTATTGATTATTGATGCATTATAGCATATAGTTTCGCAAATGTTGCTGGTTGTTCTTCTTTCTTATTCAGATTGTTAATGTGCTTCTTTGTTCTTTCATGTTCGGCTTTCTTGTATTTCTTAATTATACAATTGCATACAGCACATTCAATTTTTATCTTTTTGTATTCTCTGCTTACTTCAAGCATATGCTCTTTATCTCGTTCATAACGCTCTAAATACCATTGATGATGTTTTTCTTTGTTACTACTGTAATACTCTTTACCTTTAGCAAGGCATATATTACATCGTTTATTTCCATCTTTGAACTCATTGATGCTTCTATCCTTTTTACATTTTGGACATTCTTTTATGGTTTCTACTTCAATATATTCCTGTTCCATTCCTATATAACAAGGGTTTCTAGTCTTTAAAGGGCTTCTAAATTTTCAACAATAATATTATCTAGTGAATAATATTATGGTTGCTTGTTTATTTTTCCTAATCTTCTTCTTCAAATATATCACATAAATATTCATATATAGCTTTTAAATCAAAATATTTTCTGTAAAGACCTACTTGAGACTGAAAATACAGGAACAAAATTGCTATCATAATTTGAAATATAGGTTCTTCATATTGATTTCTATATTTATACGTCTCACCTTCAAAATCCCATTTGTCATAAAGATAAAAGATGTTATAATCCAACAACCAAAACATTCTGTATTCATCAATCATTTTTATGTTCCTTGACTCATTCAAGAACTTCTTTAACAATGGTTTTAATTCAGTTTTTGATTTCTCTACAATGTCTTTCAAATAGTTCTTCTTATCTTTTAAATTTGTTAGTTTCTTGTAACCATTGTCAAAATGATTTAATATACAATGTATTTGTCTATGTTCTGCTCTTTTATATTGGGGGTATAATTTAAATCTATAGTCATCATTTGTTCCATCATATTCTTTTTCACACTCATGCATTTTATGACAAAAGTTACAAGTTGTATAAGACAAGATATTATTAGCAATATTATCATCAAATAGCTGATTTAATATTATCTCTCTTCTACTCTTGTAACTGATACAATACTTACAATCAAAATTGAAATTAAATGTTTCCATGCTCTAATATATTAAGTCGTTTTCCCTTTAAGTAGTTTTTCTAAGGCTTGTTAATCTACCATCAACAACTCGTGTCTGTTATATCGTTTGCTCTTTCCTTCTACAATATAATATTTGTTTAGGTTCATATCTCTACCTACTTCTTTGACTTCATAAGTTTGATCACTCCATTGGTTTCTGCTTTCTTTTCTTGATGTATAATTACCTTTACCTTTAGTGAATATTTTTACTTTATCACCTTCCTCTATTTTAGGATATTTTCTTAGATATTTTTCTTTCAAAACGGAGTTTGCTTTAACTTCAACCGAATTCTCATCTTTATGAGCCTCGTTAGGTACTAAACCTGTCGTTGAATGAACCATAGTTTTATTGTATTTATCCAATGCAGGTTTTAATAATATTGTCCAAGCTCCTTTTGTATGTAAGGCTCTATCAGTTATCATTTTCTTTATTGTTCTTATTGCTCTCTCTGCTACATTAGCATGTGTTAATGTTACAACATGCTCTATTCCTTCTCCTTTTAAATAATCTTGTAGTTTCTTGTAATTAAAAGCTCCATCATCATCTGAGTAGATACTATTAGGGAAACCTAATTCTTTAAAACATTGAATAAAAGCATCATATACTGTTTCACCATCTCTGTTTTCCATTGGTCTGATGCTCATCTTTTTACTGAAATTGTCAATGCATAATAAAGCATATCTTTTATAACTTTCGCTAAAGGTGTTTGTGTCTTTCATTAATGAAATCATATCCATTATATCAACTGAATAGACTGCTCTTGCATAAGGAGGAGAATAACTATTATAATTCTTGTAATTCCTTCTTTGCTTATTCGGTTGCTTCCTGACCCATTCCTTAACATAATTTAAACTAACACTGACACCATCCTTATTAGCTTCTTTGTGAAGATTCTGAACTGAACCGTATCCGCGCTCCAGATCATAATATATCTCGCTCAACTTCTCATCAACACTCATAATTAATATTAATTAGATAATATTAATATTAATCATGCAATGATAATTTTATAAGTTTATCTTCTAATTCTTTGTCTTTATTCGCTTGTGTAAGCATTTTACATTTATTTGTTTTCTTGTGCTTAGATAGATTTGTGTTATTTACTAAACAACCACAACCCTCACACATAACAATCTTATGATTTTTCTTGTAATAATCTCTAAAGTATCCGCTTTCCCTGTTCTTCTTGTTGTTTCTATAATTTTCCTCAGTCCGATCACGCTTTTCTGATTTATCGCTGTCCGTCGTAAAACCTTGCTCCTCATCTATTGAATTCCATAGCATACTAAACAAATCGTCGTTCATTGAGGTTTTGTTTCCATCACAACCTACCAAGTAATTCGTCATAATTTATTTAATAATATGAATATTCTTTTAAGTGGTTTTATTTTAAAATAAATGCCCTTAAAAGAATATCTCATTATGAGCCTACAGACTGAACACTTGTTCGCCTTGAACTGGTTCTGCTTCTTATGTATTCTATGGTTTCCTGGGATCGCCTTGAACTTACAACACTTTGCGGGGGACTTGGTTCATCAACATATTCTATCGTACGATTACTTGGAACTGAACTTTGCACTGATACAGGTGGAGAGGAATGAATGTGTTCACTTAAGGCTTCCTCTTCAACTGGCAACAATACACTCCTGTTTGAACATCGTAAACTCTACGCATTACTGATTTTTTCTGTGGCTGTTCGCGTTCTCGTTCAGTTTCCTTTTCTTTCTCAATACTTTTTATACTTGATACGCTTTCGTCTGTTTGAGTCTGTTTTACTTCTTCTTCTATTGTTTTCATGCTTTCACTTTCTGTTACTCTTGGTGTTTCGTTGAACACATCCGTTTGTGTTCCTTTATCTGGGTTCTCATTCATTAATATTGTTTTCTTATCGTACTTACTCAAATCAAAATCATCAAAATCAACATCGTCTAATAATAAACCTTGTTGTGTTCTTTTCTGCTTCTCTGGTAGTATTCTTAATCTATGTGTTCTCGCTTCTCTTGCAATTTCTTCGTATGTGGGGCGCAATCTTAACATGAAT